CCCCCCCCCCCAAAAAAAAAAAACAAAAAAAAAACAAGAGAGAGATATACAAGGGTGTCTTCTTACTGACAGAAAAAAATACAAGAGAGAGATATACAAGGGTGTCTTCTTACTGACAGACTGACAGTGGCATTGAAACAGTGGTTCGCACAAGGGAAGGAGAAGCCACAGAGCCCCCTGCTGGAGCATACATACCTGCACATTTGCACCTGCGATAATATTCGGCTTGTCGTACGGCTTTCCTTCTGCCTTTCTCCGATGTTGCCACCGCCGCTTGAAAGCCAACCCCGCCAGCATGATTGCTTCGGACGAGCCCACACACCCAGCACCCACTGCTGCTTCATTTTCTGTCACTGGAGCGTGCAGCAGGCGTGCGATCATGTTGATGCACCGGTCCTGCATTCAACACCAACACCATAATCACCCAAATCAGAGGTCACCTCAGAGACTGCCCTTTTCAGCAAACACCAATGCCCCAGATGATACAACGGTCACCGTCGGAGACACAATGTTGCATACTCGTGAAACACAGTCATAAGTATGGCGCAGATTCCCAGAACCGACCAGATAATACAGAGTTAATACGAATACAGCGGAAGACTTGAGATACATGGACTGACTCAGACCCGACTCAGACTGCAACGAAACACTCACAAACATACATCAGTGGTGTGAAAGCCCTGGCCTTGGACATAGAAGAAAAGGCCGGGGCAATTCTCTTACACGGATGAATGGAGGGAGGTGAGACAAAGGGAGGAGGAGAAGGGAGGAGGAGAGGGAAGATGACATCAACTCGATGTTTCCAAAATAGTATCTTGAAATGTCAGAAGTAACCAAAATCCGAAATGTCGCGAACACAGAGTCTCACAGTGTCTCAGATATCGATCTCACAATATCAAGGTGGTACTTCTTCAGAAGAAGATGAAATCAGATCCCCAGAGTAGTCCTCAACCTACAGTCTCGATGTCGCTGTCTCCAATGTCATCAGAACCCGTCATCATCCTTCATACTCATAGTAGTCCCGTAGGAGTAACCAGGAGTAGACTTAGACTTAGAAGGTAGGAGGAGAGAGAGAGAGAGAGAGAGAGAGAGAGAGAGAGAGAGAGAGTGGCGGAGGAGGAAGAGGGAGAGAAGGCGAGGCCTGTCTCCCTGGTACCTGTCCCAGTAGCTATGGTGCTGCAGGAGGCTGGCACTGGGACACGTGCTGGGCCGGTGGCTGGCGCTGTGCCAACTGCTGCATTGGTTCCTCCTTGCCGCTGTGCTCGTCCTCTCCCTGCTGCTCGTGCTAACGCTGCTGCGCTGCGCTAATCCTGAAGACTAACCTCCAACCTACCACCCTACTGACTGTCTCAGTCCTACTGAGATCCTTTGGGTCTGGACAGTTGATCAGGCCCAACGGTTCAGATCCGATTTCGGAATATGAAGAATGGGCGCCAAACTGCGCCGCCGGCTGGGCCTACCGATGAACCGGTACCTGGCCTAAACCAACTAGCCGTTGGGTCTGGTGGGGTCTAAACGAGGCCTACCGGACCCTTAACTGAACCGACAGGTCCTAGGCCTACCTCGACCTAAACTGGGCCCGTCATGACCCGGTAACTAGGCCTGAACCGTGCCTGCTACAGAACCGGGCCCTAACTGGGGCCCGTGTGGTATCAGTATGCCACACACAACCATCTTTCAGGCATGAACAGCTTTCCTGGGAAGCTACACCGTAGGAGGTCTGAAACACATGTCTAAGAAAAGTGGTGTCTCAAAAAGATTTTGCTTTCACCAATATGCCTCGCTCAAACACACACACAAACCTCTCTCTCTCTCTCAAACACACACACACACACAACCGTCCAGATTCAGATGCTTTTTCCCATTCTCTTTGCCAGTGGCATCTGGCCCCAAGTTAGATTGGAGCAAAACAGACGGGTCCATCAGCCTGGGGCCTGAGGTTCGACAGCGAGAGAGAGCCCACCGCAAAGCAAAAAGGCACCATAGGCGGAACGCCAACATCTTGAATGTATATGGTCCTGTGATTGGTCGCAAAACTACATTCAAAATGTGTCCTTTTGGCAAGCGCTGACAAATTTCTGCACATCTCCACAAACACGTCCAGATTCAGGTGCTTTTTCCCATCCTCTTGGCCAGTGGCATCTGGCCCCAAGCTAAATTGAAGCAAAACAGATGGGTCCATCCGCCTGGGGCCTGAGGTTTGACAGCGAGAGAGAGCCCACCGCAAAGCAAAAAGGCACCATAGGCCGAACGCCAACATTTTGAATGTATATGGTCCTGTGATTGGTCGCAAAAATGCATTCAAAATGTTTCCCTTTGGCAAGCGGTGCAGCGACAGCCCCATTCCCTCCGTAAACAGGTGTCCCAAACTTTGATCTTTCCTGCCCAGCAGGCCTACACAAAGACCTTTCTTTCCTTCTTTGCTTGTTTGCTGACCGATAAACTGAAGAGCGAAGGTACGTGGGAGGGTTTTAACCGCTTACCTGTAGCTCCGTAGTGATCGGGTACTCGTCCATGTCAATGTAGTTCTTATTCATTGCTTCCATAATCAGCTTGTCACATTCAGGTTCCATCCATGTGGTCACAAAGGACGCGAGGTTGAGCCGCGGGTTGCCGTCCAGCAGCAGCTCATCATGGATGATTTGATAAGCCGCCTCCTTGGCGGTTTCGTCGTCGGGAAGCCGATACCTGTCATTCGCACGAGAGAAACAGAGAGACAGTGACAGTCACATACATGCATCAGTAAGGTGGAGGGAGAGGAGGGGAAAGGGGGGGGGG